TGCCCGGGCAGGTTATGGAGCCCAGATGGGCCGGCCCATGCGCGAGCGAGGCCACAGCCTGTTTTTCTTTTTCTATTATTTTCCGGTTTCATTTTTTGTTTTATTTTGTACTTCTGTTTATACTTTAAAATATTTTCAATGTGCGTGTATATATTAAATAACTCTACAAAAACATTCAAAAAATATTCAATAAGTATTTGAAAACTGTTGAACAAGTTTTTGAAATTTTTAATCAAATATTCCAAAAAATGAACAAATATTTATAAAAAATGTTGAGCAAGTATTTATATTATGTTAATGTAGCATTCATGGAAATTTTGAACAAGTATTTGAAATTTTTTGATCAAGCATTCAAAAAATGTTGAACAAGTATTTGAAAAATGTTGAACAAGTACTTGAAAAAATGTTAATCCAGCATTTTGAAAATTGTTGAACAAGTATTTGAAGAAATGTTGAACAGGTATTTGAAAAATCTTAATCAAGCGTTCGAAAAATTTGAACATGTATCTGAAAAATGTTGAACAAGGATTTAAAAATATGTTAAGCAAGCATTCAAAAATGTTGAATAAGTATTTGAAAAATGTTGAACAAGTATTTGATAAAATGTTGATCATGTATATAAAAATGTTGAATAAGTGTTTGAAAAATGTTGAACAAGTATTTGAAAAAATGTGATATGTACATAAGAATGTATAATGAAAAACAAAAATCAAAAATCAAAAATGAAAAAATGGAGCAGAAAAAGAAACCCAAACAAAAAAATGGGGAAGAAAAAATAAAATAAAAAATGAAGGAACAGAATGAAAAAAATAATAAAAAAAAGTAACAAAAGAAAACAAAAAAAGGGTTGAAAACCAAGAAAGAAAAAATCAAAGAAAAAAAGAAGGAAAAGTGTGTAAAAGCCGACCCTTTCCCTTCTAATAGGACATGCCTTACCTATTGTACGTTAACTCCAGCCTAGTGCAGAGGTGAACGCTGCCTCCGGGCAACCAGGAGGTCGCAGGATCGATCCCTGGCGCGCGATCTGTACCATCACTTAATGCGATAAATACTACTCCCTCCGTTCCTAAATACTTATCTTTCTAGGCATTTCAAATGGATTCAACATACGGATGTATGTAGACGTATTTTAAAGTGTAGATTCACTCATTTTGCATCGTATGTAGTCACTTGTTGAAATCTCTAGAAAGACAAGAATGGATTCAACATACGGATGTATATAGACGTATTTTAAAGTGTAGATTCATTCATTTTGCATCGTATGTAGTCATTTGTTGAAATCTCTAGAAAGACAAGTATTTAGGAACGGGGGAGTACTTAGTACCTGACTAATCGCGCCCATTAGATGCCAGGATCGATCCCTGGCAGCTGCCCCGGCTCGCCGAGTACTGCCTCGCCACTGCACCCACTTAAACTACTGTTAAATAAATATTGTGGGGGAGGGCAAAGCCTACCTATTCCTCATTTTACCAATGCCTTGCATGATGCTACAGAACTTTCTTGGGGCCCTGCTCGCCCTGGTCGTTGTCATGAATGGAGAGGCGATGAGCCTTGCCATGTTCATTTGTCATTCCTCCGTATTGCCCCCAAACCAATGTAACAAAGTTAGATTCCTGGGATTTGGACACCATGACCTCAAGGCTCATGTCATGCACCCGGCATTCCCTCTACTTCCATAGAATTGTCTAGTTGAATCATTGTAGACAATCCCAGAATAAAGTTAGTCATGAGTTGGCCGCGTATGGCTGTAGGGTTTCTTCGTGGAGCTCCTTTTCTGGCTTAGGCTTGAGCCTTTGATGGTGGGGGTTACCTTGTGCACCATGGTGCAATCAAATGTTCAAGTGAACAGTTTTACCCCTCTTCTTCATCATTCAAACGAGAAAAAATAAATCGGTGCATAAACGATTATAGATAAAAGACTTCGCGCCACATTTTTCTTAGGAACATAGTACAATTGCAGAAGCTCATAAACACGTACATATACTCATCCTATGAACGCACACACGCACATCCTAACTCTACGAGCGCCTCGCTATCGGCCGGAACATCGCTTCGTACTGAAAGAATATTTCTGACATCACAAGACAACAAAGCGTTAACCCTAGGGTTTGATTAGCTAGCTACTATCCTCGTAACGGCTCTCGTCGTGCCATGGCTTTTGTGACCGTTTTATGGAGCGACACACAGCATTGCCCTATGCCGCACACAGTAGTAGTACGAACGTGAATGTCTCTCCCGCGCATGCATGCGTGGAATCATTGGTGCATGCATGGTTGGCCGATCTGAATCTGATTATGGCGCCAACAACCACACCATCATCGCCGCCGGTGGCCGTCTTCTTCAACCACAACAAAATCGGTCCATGAATGATGAGTCGAGCTGGAAAAGAAGAAGCAAATCAAGCGCACGTGGCATCCATTCTACTACTACTATAAATGGCCATCGATGCATGCCGCCTCTTCTTCACTCTCTCGCTCCCTCGCCGATCGACCGACGGAGGAGGATGGGGTTCGTGTCGCTGCTGGTGGTGGCGTCGACGCCGGTGGTGGAGGTGCTCCTCGTGGCCCTCCTCGGCGCCTACCTCGCCTCCCCTCCGCCCGCGCCGACATCAACCGCGTCGTCTACGCCGTCTTCACCCCGGCGCTGCTGCTCGCCAGCCTCGCCTCCACCGTCACGCTCCAGGACGCCCTCTCATGGTCTCTTACTCGTTCCCTGAACATTCGCCTCATGCTCCTTTCTTAATTAAGCTAGCTAACGACAGATGGTTTGAATTATAACCCAAGGTGGTTCATGCCCGTGATTGAACATCGGCATCATCTTCTTCGCCGGCGGGGTCCTGGGGTGGCTGGCGGTGCTCATCCTCAGACCGCCGCCGCACCTCCGCGGGCTGGTTGTTGCGTCGTGCTCCGCCGCTAACTTGGGCAACCTGCTCCTCATCGTCATCCCCGCCGTGTGCCGTGACGACGGGAACTCCTTCGGAGGCGACTGCACCCGCCGCGGCCTCTCCTACGCCTCCTTCTCCATGGCGCTCGGCGGGCTCTACATCTGGACGCACACGCACGGCGTCATGAAGCGGTCCAGCGAGGTATGCCGGAGGATGGTAGGAGGCCGCCGCTGCTGAAGCTCATGACCATGCCAAGAAGGACTCTGTCGATGTCACTGTCGCTGTCGAGGAGGACGGGCTTGTCTCGTCGTCGTCTTCCTCGCATCAACACCAAACTGTAAGCAAAGTTTCAGATGAACACGGGGTGTTATGTTAGTCAGTCAGGATGGCTATCTCTGAATTTGCTTCAAATTTGTCAGTCACTCATGGGACCGTTGCTGTCTAGCCACCATCATCACCATTTCAGCGGTAAGATGACGAGCAGCAACAGCCTGTGGGCGAAGCTGAAGCAGGGCTGTCCACGGAATAACTCGAAATGCAAATACCCCAAAATGTACTCCCAAAGCCTAACCTTTTGTATCTAAACCATTTTTGGTGTCATTATAGGCGAAGGAATTCACAGCCAGGGAAAAGTTTGACACCTAACACCAGAACATGTAGGCATCACCAACAGTGAGCAAACATGTGTGGACAACTGCTCATCTTTCAGCAATAGCTGCTCGATGACACATCCAATCACTAAATCACTAAAGTGATCCTAGTGTTAGTACCATTATTGTATTGCACACATGTGAATGCTGTACCAACAAGCATAAAAAAGCTCAAGCTATTGTTAGCTGATGATAGAGTCTGTTGCACATCGAAATCAGCATTTGATACATGATAGCGAAGCAGAACTGCAGTCTCCCTCCACACAGCTGTAAACAAGAAATTTTTTTGTTGATCCAAGTATCCAAGCCCCTAAACTAGCTGATCTCTCTACATATTGTTGTCATTTTCACAGAATTCTTCTTCTTTTTATCTAAATTTTGGCAAGCTTATCCTATGGAAACTTGAAATGTTGCATACAAAATGCCACAAACAAGCTATGTTAAAGTGCTACTCTTTTTTTAGGTTTGCGCGAAAAGGTGCAAAAATCCATCAAAAACCAAGCACTTGGGGAACTGGACCTGTTTACAGTCCAAGAAAAGGAGCAAGGGTGCAAATGAAAGAATGAGGGAACATCTTGTGCGTTAAGCCAAGTATTTGAGGGACTAAACAGGAAAAAGAACGGGGCAATTGGACGACAGCTAGACAGAGGGGGGCAGAATGAGAGAAAAGAGGGAGGGATGGCGGCAAGGAGAGGACGATGGGCGTCGGTGAGATCTGAAGCGAGTATCCGCCGATTCGAGCCTTCAACCTGTAAAACTCAGTTCTGAACTGTTCTTCCCTCTAAAAATCACTGCAGCTTCCTGTAATCTCTGTAGAATCCATAGCTTCAGAACCTCGTGTGCTTGTTGCTTGATAATGTTTGGCTAAGACCTGTGTTTGTTACAGCTCGTCCAGTTACTTTCTCTTGCTTAATTCCTGTCCTTGATTACTGATAAGAAATTGTTGGATACTAGTGCTGTCTCTAATCTTCAAACTCTACTGCTTGAGATCATTTTGTTCTTTCTGACTCATCCTTTGCTTGGTACTTGTGTGTTTAGTTTCTTGTTCAGTGTTGAAACCAGTTTACTAGCTTTATACTCTCGGTTCTGTTGATCTAGCTTTGAGAAATTTGAAAGTTCTCGCACACCTTTCCCTGTGGAGAAATTTGATCAATTCACCCTAATTTTACTCCGATCACTAGCACCACCTTGGACTGGACACAACTTGCAGAAAAACCTCACATATCACTAAGAAAATGGCATAGTGTTCACTAAGATAAATACAAGGAGAAGCTAAAGATCCCATGTATTCGGATTCATAAAAAGATTGAATGATAAAAATAGCCATGTTGCTGTGAAGCTGCTGTCCAAGACAAATTAGGACATTGAATATCACTCATTCAGAATTTGAACAAATTAGAACCAACAACCATTGTCATCTAGTTTGCAAACAATACAAAGAGACAAGAAAGGTACCTCTCTAGTTTCTACTCCAAATTTGAGGTGGAGATGACCCTGGCGCCGGCTCTGTCGAGCTGAGCGACGGTGGCGGTCGCTTTCAGCTTGCCGACCGACAGGAAGGCGTCGATCATCCTCCGGGCGATCTCCTCCCCCTTCTCCTCTTCCTCAATGACAGCCACCGCGGTCGGGCCTGCTCCGCTGATGGTACACCCCAGCGCTCCGGCTTCGAGAGCGGCGGCCTTCACCGCGGCCATTCCAGGTATCAGGGGCGCCCTGGTGGGCTCGACGATGAAGTCGAACGACATCGCGGAGCCGATGAGGGCGGCGTCACCCTGCAGCACGCCGGCGACGCGCGAGGCGGCCTGGCTGGAGTTGCGGACGTGGTGGCCCATCCCATGGCGATGTTCTTCGGCAGCGCGGCGCGCATCTTGCTCGTCGGCGCCTCGAAGTCAGGGGTGACGAGCACGAAGCAGAGGCGGAGCGCCGACGGGCAGGGGAGGGGGACGAGGCAGAACGGATCGTAGCTCCGCACCATGATGAATCCCCCGAGGATGGCCGGCGCGATGTTGTCGGCGTGGAAGCCGCTGACGGCCTTCTCGGACTCGAGGCCGGCGAGCACGAGCCCGTCGCGGGGGAGCAGGGACCCGAAGAGCGCGTCGACGGCCTTGGCGGCGGCGGCCGCCGACGCGGCCGAGGATCCGAGCCCGGAGCCGAGCGGCAGGCCCTTGTCGAGGCTGAGGGAGACGCCGTGCGAGCGGACGCCGAGGGCCCGCAGCGCGGCGACGGCGGCGATGCCCGCGCAGTTGCGGAGCGGGTCGCGGGAGAGCCGGTCGGCGAGGCGGGGGCGGGACGGGGAGGTGATGGCGGAGATGGCGACCGTGCCGGCGGGCAGCGAGGGGTCGAGCGTGGCGGTGACGGTGTCGCCGAGGGAGAGCGAGGCGTCGGCGACCGCGCAGCCCAGGAAATCGAACCCCGGGCCGAGGTTGGCCACAGTGGCCGGCGCGAATGCCGTGACGGACCTGAAGGCCGGGGGCGGGTTGACCGATGCCGATGCCGCCGCGGCGGTGGCTCTGAGCTTGCTCGAGACGCGGAAGGAGAGGAGTGTTGGCTTGCGGGTGGAGGGGAAGGAGGAGGGCGCGGTGGCCGGAGACGACGCCGCCGCTTCCTCGTCCTCCCCTGATCCGGTCGATTTCTTTCTGATATGAGCATGCTTTGACCATGGAGAGATGGGATGGGGTGGCAGCGGTGGGGATCCGGTAGGGCAAGTTGTCCGGCGTGGGGTGGAGCGGGTGCGAGGGGGAGGGCCCCTGCGACGACCTCGATGCCTGCTGCCGCGACCACGACAGCTGCGTCGAAAAAAAAGGTACCTCCTGCATACAGACATCATCCCCTTGCTAGCTTCAGAAGAAAGAAGAGAATGGCATCTGGATCCATGGCCGCCATGAACAACCATACTACATCACACTGCATTGTTTGGATTCAAATGGTTCTCACGATTGATAACATGAGCCAGCTCTACTCTGCTCTGTTGCCCAGAGATTTTCAGAATTCAGACTTCGAGTTGCTGCTACCTCTGCTCTGGTCTTGTCGGGGATATACCCCGCGGTGTAAACCGACCGGATGGATAACCTGGCTGGAGAGTGGTGATTCATTGGTGACCCGCCCGGAGCTTGGCGACTCATGACTAACCCGTCCTGGATTGGCGTAACCCGGTGGGCGGGTTAGACGGATGACAAGACCCAACGCACAGAAGGCCGGTTCATGTTAGGGTGGGCCAGTTGTCACGCTGTGAGCCGCCTCGCTCCGCCGTTGCTCTGAATTGCTGGAGCTACCCCTGCAGGCCCGCTTGCCTCCGCTTCTGCTACGGCCATCCGGGCCACCCTGTCAAATCGCGGAACGTCGCCGTCCATACCAGCCGTTTTCAAAGCTGAACTGCTCGCCTGCCAAGTCGCCCGCGTCGGTTATCTATCCTCGCTTTGGCTCCGCCTTGAGCCGCCGCAGCTTTGTCGCAAGAACGGCCATGTTTTAAGTCCGGCGGGGTTACACATTGAGTCGCCGCAGTTTTGCCGCAAGACGACCCAGTTTCAAGTCGCCGGCCAGCAGCCCCCGTCTTTCACACCCGGTCGCTACCGCCACAGGTGTTGCCGCTGCGGTCCCCGCCTCTGCCGGGTTCTCGCATCTTCGAGCCATGGGTCTTGCCGTCGCCACCACTGCACTTTGATCCGCTGGCCGCCGAGCCTCCCAAACCACCGGCCTCCGAGCGCTGCGAGCCGCCCCGACCGAGTTGCCCACAGCGAGCAGACCGCCGACGAGCCGCCTCCTCTATGGCGGGTTAGCGCCAAGCCGCGCCTGGCCTCGCTCCAAACCGCCGCCGGGCCTCGCTATTGTAAACGTGATTCCGACTCCGCTGGTGAACTAGCCTACAACTACGGAGTTGCCACCCCTATTGCCATGCTTTTAACCGCCCTTGTTGTATCCGCGGGGGCACGTTGAGCCGGCCTACTGTTTTTTTCGACGCTACAGCCGTGGACGAGCCTCTACAATTGCTGGAGGTGTTTGAAGCACTGTATGACATGGCTGCGTGCAAGGCCTTTCAGTTTTTGCAAACAGTGCGGAAATCCATCAAGTTACGTAGGTTGTATGATAAAAAAAGGAGTATAGCTTGTGTATGGTCAACCTTCTCAAATTCTCCTTTGACTCCAAGTGTGAGAACAGAGAAGAGGTTTCAAGACTTTCAACTGCATCTTCAGAGACTCAGTGGTCAAATTACAATGATCAAAATTCTCAAAGGATGTCTCCTGACGCTACTTATGGATCATCGGTCGGACGGATAAATCAGTTAATATTCATCTAAGTATATTTTATCGACACATTATTTTCTATCAAAGAACAATTTATCTTTGCCGTGGTCTGCAATGTTTTTATGCAGGATAGTTATTTATGACAAGGATATTGTTATACCGCGGACATGGAGCGCGTGCCAGCATAATTTTGTACTAGCGTTCCTCCGGGCCATGCTGCTCGACAGATACACGTGCAAACCGCCGCCCCCGCTGTTCGATTTACATACGTCCGCGCATGCGGCCGACTCGTTGTCCACGCCGGCTTACAAAATGTCACGGCCGACTCACCCGTCCGCACCGGCTTACCACACTGTGGCCGGTTCACCTGCGATTGATTTCAATTTCACCTAGTGATCATCAACTTCATGGCGGATTATTTCCGGCCTGACACATCAGGTGATATCCATTAAAATATATTTTATTGGCACATATTATTTTTGTCAAAGAGCGGTTTATCTTTGCCTTGGTCTACAATATTGTTGATGCAGGACAAATTGTTCACTACATCAAAACGACGTGGTTAACTCGCCCGCGCCGGTTTACAGCACTGCGGCCGGTTCATCTACCTGAGCCGCCTCTGATGCGGCGGTTGTTTTTTCTTTCTGTCTCTCGCGGCCTGGTCTACATCAAGACACCGGGGCGCACCTGTCTGCAGGAGCTGTTTATTGAGTATAAAGCAAGTCACAGCTTCAATAGCCCGGTTTTCTTTCAAATTGGAGGCAAATTATCATCAACCGCCGTCTGCACTGGATGGATCAATGGGCAGACGCACAAGTCGCCGCCACTATAGTTTGGATAATTTCAAATAGCCAGTTGGAAGGAACCATTGGCCGAGTTGCTGACACGGCTCATACGGATCATTTATAACCCGCCGCAGTCACCTCAACCTTCTGTGGATTCACATCGCGCTATCAACACCAATGATATAAACCTTCTGCTACGGTCAAATACGGAGAATCTCAAGACGACTCCTCGAGTCGTCTTAAGACTCGGGGGCTACGATGACATGACTAAGCAAATCTTGCCAGTTGCAGCAAATTTAAGAACCCCAGGACGATGGAGGGAAAGATAACCCGCTCCCGGAGGCTACTACTATATTGATGAAAATTTAAAGGCCGTCAGAAAATTTCCGGCTTAAAAAATATATGACAATTACAAAATCCCGACTCAATGAAGAAGTTCCCGGTCATCAGAAAGGATTCCGGTTCAAAATCCGGTTCAAGAGACCTCTCTCTCCCATAAAGCGTTGAAGCTCTCAAATATCCGGTTTAAAATCCGGCTCAAGGGACGTCAGTCTTGCTAAAGCTCTCAAATATCCGGTTTACAATCCGGTTCAAGGGAAATATGTCTCCTACAAAGCTTTGAATCTCTCAAATCCGGTTTAAGAATTTCCGGTTCAAAAAGAATCAATCTCTCGCAAGTTCGAGTTTAAAGGCCGTCAGAAAAATTCCGGCTGAAAATGAAGATTCCGGTTTAAGATCCGGTTCAAGGGAAAGATGTCTCCCACAAAGCTTGGAAGCTCTCAATACCCGGTTTAAGAATTTCCGGTTCAAAGGAATAATTTCTGCAAGTTCGAGTTCTCAGGAAAAATTAAAGGGACCAAAGAGAGTCTGTTGCAGAAGCACAACTCAAACATAGGTGCCCCTTGAGCACAGCTCACAAAATCACTTGGGGGCTTGGTCGTATTCAAACCATAGTCACACCTCTTGATTGGCTCAAACGCCAAATTACTTCGGGGCCAAAGAGATTGTTGCAAAAGAAAAACTCAAACATAGGCACCCACTGAGCACAGCTCAAAATGTTACTTGGGGATTCTTTGATGTCGCAATGAACAAAGAATCTACACTTGTAATAGGCTATCAAGCCATGGCTTGGAAGCCTGGTGTATACACCTAAAACCCCGTGTTAGCCTGCCTATTTAAGTAAGTCACTCCGCCCAGGTAAACCTGGTATGACCCTTCGAACTTTGACAAGTTACTCTAAAAAGACCCTGAACTTGTCAAGTTAAAACGATGATTGGTTAAGGATTGAGGACCATCTTAAAAGGCTTTGTGAAATGGTTTAACTCAGTGGCCTGGCAGCCCATGAAAAGCCTCGAATTTGGGGACTGGCAGCCCGTGAAAAGCCTCGACTACAAGTTTTCATTTGCTTTTTGCCCAAATTTTCTCTCTTTTGACAAGACTTATGATGATTTTTGACAACCCGATGTTCATCAACCCGGCTAGGCTGTCAACTACAAGTTGTCAGTACATAATCACTTATAACCCGGAGTTTCTTAGCCCGGTCTGGTTTCGACTCAAAGTCGCCAGCATTGAATAAACTGGTGTTTATTGACCCGGCCTGTCTTCGGATGTTAAGTCACTAGTATAACATAAACCGGTGTTTATTGACCCGGTCTGGCTTTGGACGTTAAGTCGTCAGTATATATTGGGATTGTGCCATTGGAATCATGCGCTTATAAATCATTGGATTATATTATTCAAATCTTTAATAGCCAATATGGCTGGATTTTTATTACGGCTATCAATAACCAATATTATGATTGAGGT